ATCCAATTCAATTAAAATAATACAATTGAGCTATTCCCTGTGCTCAGTGTGTAGAGGGCAAACTATGGAGCCACAGCTGGAAAATCACAGCTATCACTGTATATAGTGTAGAGTATTACAGTGATTTTCAGAATCCACCGTGGCCATCCAGATATCAGATATGCATACTTACCAAGCTGGACGAAATCTTATTTCCACTTTAATGGACTCGCATACATGGCTTCCTAAGGCAGATCTTCTGCCTGTCTTTAGTTTGCAGCCTGGCAGATGGGGGACAGGGTCTCTTTAAGGAGTACTCTGTATACATTTTTATTTTATTCTACCACATTTGCTTTCCATATTATTATATTTTATAGAGAAGGTAGAACATGGTGGTAGAATTACATGGGATTTCTATGTATTTAGAGTAAAAACATTTGAGGAAAAGGCAGGACACACCCACCATCCATCATTTGCATACAGTCCAACAGTCAAGGTGGAAAAACTTTTGGAGACACTCTACAACAGTTAAAGGCGAACTATTGGGTTAAGTCTTTTCCCCATAGTTCTCCTTAGGGTAACGGGAGGACACAAACTAGCGTCCTCCCGTCACCCTAGGCTCAGTATACTGCGAGCTGTAGCTCGCGGTATACTGAGATGCAGCAGCTGAAGCGGATCCCGACAATTGTGCCGGGATCCGCCCAGCTGCGTGACTGACAGCTGGCTCTGCCTATCTAGAGGCAGAGTCAGCTGTACCCGCCCCCTCCCCGTCCGTTCCGCCAGTCAGCGCTGGCGGATCGGAGCGGGGAGGGGGGAATCCAGCCCCTCCCCTGTCACGGCAGAGAGCCGTAACAGGATTGAGAGGTGAGCGAACGCCGGTATCTGTTCGCTCACCTCCCGATCTACTGAGCCGACCTGTGACAGTCTCATTGTCACAGGTCGGCTAGAACTATGAGGGGAGGGAAAAAGCCTCACCTCATATTTCTCCTTTAAAGCCTTACTCCAGCCAAAACGTTTCATATCGTTTTCAATAGTGCAAAGAAGATTTACGAACTATGTCAGGTTTTATTATAATTTGCGCCCTGCTTGGGGAGATATCCTCACTTCCTGTTAGGGCAGGAAGTGGTGGGAAATCTCATGAATGCCAACACAAACAAAAAACACATTTCAACTGTATGATAGAAGGATTGGAACCTCTGACAATGTTTTTGCTGCTGTCCATTTCTTTCTGTTCCAGTGAAAACCACAACCTCTAACCGTTTACAGGTTCCGCAGACATAGGAGGTGAAGGAAAATATCCTCAATGAGGTCTCAGACAGGAATACAAATCTGACAGAAGAAAAAAAATGTCTCCATTCAATCCAAAAATAAAAATAAAATGGCTGGAGTTCTTCCGCTAAAATCAATGCACCAACAAAAGTGTTTCCTGCAAAAAAGATAGTAAATACTTCCCTCCCATAAAACGCTGCTCTATTGAAAATAAATTGTTTCCTGACATCTCTTTAGAAATTAAGAGACTTGGAACTCACCATCTACTCCCCCCGTGCTCCATGGCTCCTTCTGCTGATCCCCATGTCACTACTGGGTCCTGTAAGGGTCCATGGAAGGAACCACACTGAGTGTGACTGGGGAACAGAAAATTGAGTGCCCCTAAAGAGCCCCAAAAGAGACTTTAGTTGGCATTCCACTCCATGGGCAGCAGGAGAGTTACATATTTACTGCCTTTGTTGCAAAGAACTCTTTTATTGGCTCTTTGATTTCAGCAATATAGTTGCTGATGTTTTTAATTGCTGCTTCCGAAAAACATTTGCTCTTGTCTATGGCACAAACCGTGCTACAAGTGCCATGTAGCCTCAATCAGCTGCTCACATGACCATACTGGTACGGCTGTGGCTACCCATGATCATATCACATGGCAGCGTTTGTTGCGTATTTAGCGATTCATGGTGTGATTTTTGGTGCATGGAGTAGCACATCTATAAGTTGCTCCTTTTTAACCCGTGTTTAGCTTGGGCCTTAAAATGAAAACCAATCTTAGAAAGGAAACGTGACATGCATGCAAGTGACAATAGGTTGGCAGGTATCATAGTTAGGACATGAAAGTCAGTGGTGAAACGTTCATCTATTATGCTTTTGTTTAGTGCAAGACTATACCCAGCGAACATGCCTAATTGTGTGCCCAAAACAATGAACTTATAACATCCTTGTGATAGTATGTGGCTTTTTTTCTCTTCAAAATATCGACTAATAACTTAACCTGAGGCTTATCACTTCTTGTGCATTTTGTTATCTAGATGTTTGATAACCTGTTCCTGACTAGTCCCCACAAATAACTTTAACAGCTAGCTAAGTTTGTTTGTCGGCGTGTGAAAGACATTGCGGTGACTGAAATGGCCTTTTTTTTTCCTTTTTATTAGATAAATACTTGGATGTTAAGGTGGGCCCTTCACCTTTGACCTTTGCTCCAGCAGCCATTTTGTCTCCGTGAGGCCATAAGTGCCTGGTGGATTCCTAGGATGCCTATTGGGTCAGCAAAATGGCTGCCTCCTTTGTGTGTGTGTGTGTGTGTGTGTGTGTGTGTGTGAGAGAGGGTCAATTTAAACTTGCTGGTTATGAAAAAAAAAATCTTAACAAACATGGCAGCTTAAAAGCAAAACTTAGATGACCAGTGGCTTGGAATAGAGGTATCGACCATGGCTTTGTACCCAGTAACTAAATAAAGTCATTAACTCCGTCTAATGTTGTGTATTCATTTTTTTTATTACTGATATTATGTTGTCGCCTGAAAGATGTATTACTTTTTGTAGATGACAAAAGGCTCAGTCCTTTAGGTTGTAATGTTATTTGCTGTAACAGTCATATGACTCTTCATTCGGCCATATGTAGCGCTGAACCCCACAGGAGCTGCTGGTCAATTTTTGGGTTCTCCTACTTGTTCTGCAGTTACTTGCCCTGTTTCCAGATCCAGCAACACCAACAACCTGTGGTAATGATCAGGATTAAGTCTCAGGGTTTTACAATTCATTGCTGAATACAAAATTCAAGAGAGAGGGTTAAAGATGGATGCATGGATGGATGGAGGGATGCAGGATACTCAAAAGCAAAAAATAATAGAGGACAGCAGCATCAGGTTTTATAAGAGGAGAGTCCAAAAATAGATGCTGATAGAGGGTAGCCAGATAAATCTTTGACCCTATAGGCGCAGTCACAGTGTTTCTCATGCACCAGCGGGTTTCTACCCAGCTCCTCTGTGATATTCTTCAGCAAGAAGATGCCTTTTCCAACCCAGCTTCCATCAGGTATCCAGTCCAGCAATAACTTAGTATCCAGGGTCCCAAGCACATGACACCTGCTGTGGTCAGGCCCTGCCAACCGATCCCTAGGCTCCTCCCATAGAAAAGCTGCTTCCAAACATTTAGCATCTCCCCTGCCACACCTCTGAGTTAGTTCCTCAGGGATTTGTTGAGTCAGATAAATACTAATAACCTGAGGTTAATCGTCCTACACTGCTTGCTGGAGCTTCCTCCAGGCAACACGTGGAAGTAATCAACCCTCCAGGCTTAGGGAAGACCCTCCAGGCTTATGGATTACCCACCAGGCTTAGGGAAGACCCAGCAGGCTTAGGGAAGACTCACCAGGTTTAGGGAAGACTCACCAGGTTTAGGGAAGACTCACCAGGCTTAGGGAAGACCCTCCAGGCTTAGGGAAGACCTTCCAGGCTTAGGGAAGACCTTCCAGGCTTAGGGAAGACCTTCCAGGCTTAGGGAAGACCCTCCAGGCATAGGGAAGACCCACCAGGCTTAGGGAAGACCCACCCGGCTTAGGGAAGATCCTGCAGAACATAGAAAAATCGAGACACAACTGCAAAGGGCAAGGTTGATATACATATGACTGTTGGCTATGTTTACTGAAAGTAATAGCTGTTTTAGCAAATATTGATTATAAAATAGTGAGATGAGGCCAATATGCTATGTAATATGCCGGCAGCTGTAGTGCCTATGCCACTGGGAACCACTATGTTTTATTAGGCACCAGGCTTAGGGAAGACCTTCCAGGCTTAGGGAAGACCCTCCAGGCATAGGGAAGACCCACCAGGCTTAGGGAAGACCCACCCGGCTTAGGGAAGATCCTGCAGAACATAGAAAAATCGAGACACAACTGCAAAGGGCAAGGTTGATATACATATGACTGTTGGCTATGTTTACTGAAAGTAATAGCTGTTTTAGCAAATATTGATTATAAAATAGTGAGATGAGGCCAATATGCTATGTAATATGCCGGCAGCTGTAGTGCCTATGCCACTGGGAACCACTATGTTTTATTAGGCTGTATACTATACAACAATGTGATGGGGTCTTGCTACTCTT